TGAGAATACAAGGAATACACGAACTTGATATGATAATTTCAAAGGCCTTCCAGGGAGAAACAATCAAGGTAAACACTCATAAAAATGCAGAACTCAGGACACACACAGAGAATGTCAGGATCAAAATAAAGAACGACACGTTGATGAATGACTAAATTTCAAGTATTGGTTTGTAGGGATTTGATTGATTGATTGGTTACAGGATTTCAGTTTGGTTGCAAGTACAATGAAAGATATAAAACTGAAGGTTCTGTTTATTTCCTGACACAGAGTCGTCAACCCTAGATGCAATGGAAGAGTACTTTGCAAATCCTTCAATTCTTTAGGGATCAGTACATTTTATACTGGTCCTTGCAATTAGGTGAACCATCAGCATGCATGACATGTGAGTTTTATTCGTTGTATATCGGTTATGGACTTGAACTGAACTACTGAGAAAGTTCATTTTGCAGACCACGGTTAAGTTTATGCAAATGCGCAGCAGCCGTGTGCACATTTTGGCTTTTATGAGACAGCTAGTTGTCAGATTCGAAAACGCAGCTAAGATATTTTTATTATCTCTGATGGTGGTCACGATCTTAATCAGTTACTACAAATATGTAACGACCAACTGACAAGCTTCCACAGCTGGCTACCAATCAGTCGAAAAAGAAACCTAATTAGATCTCTTGCCACTCGCGTCCAACACATCTGCAGCTCTGATACACTGGAAGAAGAACTACACTTCCTCAAAGAAATCTTCATATAAACCCTATATCCACCAAGCTTCATAGACGAAAACATCAAACAGAAAATCCAAGAGCAAGAGACGCCATCTGTGTCAAAAATTATACTTTATAAGAACCTCGACTTAAAAGGTGACCTACTCAGTGATATCCTTAAGAGGAGAATTTCCACTTCTGTAAGAAGAACTTTCTTTGTGGCAACTTTGACAGTAGTGTTCTCCAGTCGCCCGCTAATCTGCAGAAACCCAAAAGACAAGATCTCACACCTGAACTTTTGGTTGTTTGCTTATTTTTTTCCGACTAGTTGTTGAAGAACTGCGCTGATTGCAGTGTCTGATGCATCGACCGAGATACATCACGGTGCTGTTGGATCCTGTTATATAAGAATTGCGGCATTCACGATAGCTTGTATAACCTGGGTGAAAGCATTTTGAGCAGACGCGTCAAGTTCGATGGACTTGTTACTCCCTCGAAGGTCTGTCAGTGGCTGAATCAGGGAAGCACAGTTGGGAATAAACCATCGGTAATGACTCACCAAGCCGTTAAAAACGCGCAGACTTTTCACTGTTTGTGGCACCATCCAATTCTTCTGAACGCCTTTTGTATTATGTAACTCCACCAAAAACTTACTAGTTGTATTTTCGTTTGACAAATATAATGTACACACATATACAAAATAACCATACATATTTGCGCTTGTACAGCTGCGAAAATGAATTCGCCGCTGAAAAGAGACTCTTCGCTGAACTGCTGGTCTTCTCTCTATTAATGTTCGAATAGGGATTTTTCATGAATCTTTTAGATGGTTTGTATTTCATTGTATGACCTGTGAGTTTGTTTCTGAGTTTACTGCTATTTCCTGCGCTTGTATGTTGCAGCAGGGTGACGGTGAGATTCTTCGTTAGTGCCAGTAATGTCTAAGAGAGCATATTAAGTTGGTTAGGTTCCATGTGACTCACAGACCTGCGTTGTTCAGACAGTGGGCTAAATCTGTTACGCAATGAGACAAGGTTAGAGGGCTCCTGCATTGGTGTTAACGTAAGCATAAGTTTGCTCTCCGACAACCCAACCATCATAAACGAGATCCTTAATCTTCTCTCAAACTTAATGGGGGTTGGAATCATCATCAGTCTTACTTGAGTAAAACACACTTCTGGTTATGGGCAGGCACTGGTTGTTTCGAGTGTATTCTGTCAAATCACATCACACCACAGTTCATGCTCATTTTCGTACAAGCTGTGGCGAAGACCAACAGCACTTTTGTGGAGACGTCTGAAATTAAAGTGTAGTGATATCGATGTGTTCATTCTATTGCCTTTTGTAATTTTCACAGACGTATGTGCATCGAAGTAGTCATGCATAAATCCATATACTTGAATTTGAACAAAACTCAGGACGACAGGGAATATGTACTGGTGAGTCACTGGATGACTCGTTGGGAGTTTATCTTATAGGATACCAGTTGGCTTCAACTAATAATTACGCTCATGACTGTTCTGTGGCTATCGATCTTGCAAGACCTAATCGCTAGCTACACTACTTTCTGACCCTTCAGCCTGGCCTACCTAAACCGGTGGCTAGGCTTATACTGACCCAATTAGCGATTGAAGAATATACCCCTTACAGAAGATGAAAGAAGTATTTATTGACGGTGATTTGGAAGGGGTGTACAAGTAAATAATCACACCACAACGAAGTCACAGTTTTATTTCGTTTTGTTTTGGACTTTGATAAAGACTGCCAGTCCACGACCTCACAGCCTTATTCGTACAGTGGCCATAACAATAATAACTACACATATCTAAGTAACGTCCACCATGCTGCTCAGCTCCTTGAGAAGATGCAATCCTGTGAACCTTATAATGACTTGCAAAGCATCTTATGAATCGAAATGTTCTACTTTTTTGGATCCTGGTATACAACTTCTGATTGAACCATTGTTCATGTATTCTATAGTCATTTCTACTTGCCAACCAAAATATTTCGATATATCTTACCTTTCAAAGCTTTCTTTCAAATAGACACTTCTTTCGCTTGTGTTTTCTGCTGTTATACCGTCTGGTTGTGCAGAAAAACCAACATCTTGCTTGAGCAAAATTATATTTTCGCTGCGATGATCGTGTTTTTGAGCGTAAGACCAATATGGTCAACAATACTTATTGGGAAGTATATTATTATCCTATGGGTCGTGCAATCCCTTGTATACCTTGTGTGAATGTTTTATTAGGGATGTCTTATTCTTATTTGCTCTCATTCAGCACTACTGTTTCCTAGAGTCTTTTTCTCCCCGAGTCACGCTTGCATGTAGTGTTACGTGAATATTGGATGGTAATCAGTTGAGCAAAGTCACCACAGTAAACGTAGTGATATTTGGGCTGTCAGATCAACCTTGGCGATGCCTTTATAAATCAAATTTATATGACCCTGTTATGATAGCTTACTTTACAAATAAACTATTTAAACCATCCGAACAATACAAATATATCGACGTTGAACGACCTGAAATCATGTCCTATTCGACAGCTACTGTGAGAATGGTGTGCTTTTCATGTAAATTTATCTGTTCATGTTCATATGTTTCATGTTTCTTCCTGATAGCATCTTACCATGCACCATAACTAGGAGTTAGATTCCGGGGGTCTATATGATCTCATAAAAGATGGCCACACCTAAGTGTAACAGACATGATTCTATCGAGTTTCTACATATTTCCACTCATTGAAGTACAAGGTAATCAGCAAAGGTTTAGCCTCTAGGTCTTGTAAGTGGTTCTCGAAGCCGTCCAGTGACAAACTACTCGATTTTAAAAGACCTTGAGGGACCTGCGGATTATCTTCTGGAGAAATATATTCCAACTCATCTGCCGTCTCTTGGATATGTGTCGCGTGTTACTGACAAGATTCGTAAGTAGCATGTAGACACATATATTAATATTTGTGGCATGCACGAGGATATCGAAAAATATAGAGTTGAATTTAGTAGCGGAGAAAGGAAACGAACTGTGTTTCTGAAACAAAGTGGAGAACACGAAGGGAAGACAATACGGGAGACAGAAGTAGCACAACACCGAAAATAGGTTTAAATTATGATTTTTACGAAAGTTAGATGTATTTCCTCTATATCTATGCATCGAGTTGCCCAAAAGCAATCCAGTTGTCAAATACTCTCGTCTTCCACCGCTGCAAACATAAATGGCTTTATTCAGTAGACAATATACTTGTCTCACTGTGGTTTTATTTGTTGTTGAAGCAAGGATTCGTTTATTCTGTTTGCAGTGAACAAGCATTTGTACATTTCCACCTAGCAGTCTAATGATAAACTCACAATAATATATTATTTATTTTTCTGAAAACACGACTGACTGAATGAGGTTTTAATCATTAGACACCTATTCGAATGTAGGAGGACTTCTGTAAGTGAGGAGTAACATTTTCTTTGCCTTGATTAAATAGCTCATTTGTAAACTAGCATGTAAAACGTTCAGTATAATGGTCAAAACTGATAAGGATGCCGATGATGAAACTGCGTGGGGAATAAAGATTTTGCATGAACTCGATTGAGGTTCAAAATCTGACTTTGAATGATAAATTTGTTTACGTTTAGTAATGAAGATTATAGAATACAGAGGACGATCAGCTAAGATATGGAGGAACACGTAAATGGTAGTTGAACACTGTTGTAGCCGCTAATTAGATCATTTTCTCCAATTCACTTTTGGAGAACCTTAAGCTCAATGTCCTTCCGTCATCAGTTAGCAGCATCATTAGAAGCCTGTTTGTCAAGTAAGAGTGGTCTAAGCCTAGGAGTCACCAAGCAGTGTTAACATGACGTTATCCATGAACGCTAATTTTACCTCGAAACAAAGAGAAAATGAAAGTGAAGTTCCTGCAGCAATGAAATCTAGATCTTATTAGGCCTATTGGACCGCGTCATCTCGTAGAATTGGATTGTAAATAAGCTTGTAAACCGACCACCATGATCAAATTTGACTGAGCATAATACATATCAGAAGTTTGTTCATCAGAGAGAGCTGAAGCATAATATATAACAGGCTACTATTGGTAGTGAGCTTTGGTAATGAACAATGTAAATATGGATGATGATATACCGAAGTATGAACTAATCTTACTCAGCGGAATCATGAAAATTAACAGTGGGTTTGTAGGAAATTTAATATTGTACCGAAATCTTAGATTGATATGAACTAATATAGAAGTACATCGCTTTGAAAACACATTGCATTCACTTGTTTTACTCCATCGATTACATTAACATAATTTAGTTCACGATTTTGAATTTTTCATTTTCTACAAGTGCGTTTTGATGATTTGCTTGAATTGGTACTATTAATAGTTTTGGAGGTTATGTTATTTGTGAATTATAGCTTTGTACACATTTATGTAGGAATAATTCGAATACATTTGATGTTGAAAAGTGAAATATGGATTTCAGTAGCATTTTTCATTTCCCAGAAATCCCTTCCTGCAGTTTACTAGCAATTTCAGGGAAATGGTAGTCAGTTATGGGTGAATTCTGTTTGTTTTGGAGTGTTATTCCAGGAGTATTCTTGCTGTTTGGAAAGAACTCGGAGAAGTGTTAGTATACTCTCCTCTTGGACAGCGGTGCCACAAGTCACAGTACTCGAACCTCTCCTATTTATTTTATTATTTATTTTTATTATTAAAGCCGAATTACAAAGACTAAATGCTCTCTGTAACCAGTAGTTTCTCTCATGTAAATCCTCATCTAATATGTGGAAGCTATTAAAGGAAATCACAGGTGGTAAGCAAATAATGAATGATACTTCCGTTGATGTTGATATGCTTAACAAATCCTTCATATGTATCCCTGCAGATGTTATGATTCCCAAATCTAATAATATAAATAATGACTGCTTCTCATGTTTTAACACGAATGATGTCCTCAAGTGTCTTCAATCTCTCAAACCTACCCAGTCCCTTGGTCCTGATGGAGTTCCTGCTGTTATCCTTAAGAAGTGTGCTGACATCTTATGTTACCCATTAACCGACATTTTCAATGAATCTTTTTCCAAAAGTATTATACCTGACTCATGGAAAAATATCAAGGTTGTTCCAGTGCCCAAATCAACAAGTGGACCTACTGTCAAGTTTAGACCCATCGCTATTACCTCACCTTTTTTAAAAGTTATGGAAAGACTTATTTTACTAAATCTTGAACCCTCTTTAAAGCCTTTTAATGACCCCAACCAGTTTGCCTATAAACATAGTAGGTGTACCTTAGATGCTGCTGTAGTTCTGTATCATAATATAGTCTCTAGTTTAGATAGAGGAGCCAAATATATTCGGTGTGCCTTCCTTGATTACACATCTGCATTTGACTCTGTACCTAGGTCTCTCTTGCTGCAACACATAGTGAGAGCTGGATAAATAAGTGGTTGTATTCCTACTTTTCTGATAGGAAGCAGTACACTGTCTACAATGGAAAGTCCTCCACTACCTCACTTACTTTAGCTGGTGTTCCTCAAGGTGCTGTTCTTTCTCCTTTTCTGTTTTCTTCTTTCTTACATGACTTGCCCCATTCTGATGTAGTCACTTTTGTTAAGTATGCTGATGACCTCTCTGTTTCTATGCCTGTCAACTCTCAGTCAGATTGTTCCAAATTAAATAACTTTCTGTCGGAAATTAGTCAGTGGTCCTCTTCAAACGGTCTTAAGCTAAATCCATCTAAATGTCAGGTAGTCAATTTCAATTTCAAACGAAAACGTGACCTACAATAACTAGCTAGCTCACATGGTCCCACTATCATTGACGGCATAGAGGTTGAAACTACATCTAATGTCAAGTACCTTGGACTGAATATTTCCTCCGATCTTTCCTGGTCCTCTCACATCTTGTTAGTGACTAGAAAGCTGTTTCGCTTAACGTTCTACCTTAGGAAGTTTAGGCAGTCTGGTATAAAGCAGTCTTTGCTTTCTCAGTTTGTCAATTCCTGTATTCTACCCATCCCTCTTTACTGCTCCCCATTAATCTTCCCTGGGCTACTTAAGAAAGACTTTGCTTCGCTGCATAGGGCACTAAAAGCTGTTAGTAGGGGAAGTGGGATTTCGTTAAACCAACTGATTAACACAATTGTGGATAGACATATAATGTCATGTAAGAGACTAGCGAATTCTATATTGTCAGACCCCGAACACCCTCTCCACACGCAGCTCTCTCCTTGCATTTCATCTGGTAGAACTAGAAGCAACTATAGGAAGCTATATGCCAGGACTACCAAGTATAAAAACTCCACAATACCTTATCTGGCACAGCTGTTATGTGATGATAAAACTGTTAGGCACGACACGATCAACTTACTGCGGCACTCTAACAAATAGTTCCCATTAGCTTTTGTTCTCCTTTCTTTGTTATTATTATATTGTTGCTCATATATTCTATTTACAGACCAATCTTATATATCATATCCTGTGAACCATTGTTTAAATATGTGAATGCATTGCTGTTCTTTTTTTATTTCTTTTATTTCTCTTTTTGTTGTTGTTGCTTTATATTTTTAAATCCTTATAAAATTTATGAGGTAATTAGATGCAATATTGTAATGAACGCTGAAAATTCCATACCTGTACCACAAATACTGTTTGGAATAACGCCATTATTATTATTATTATTATTATATATCAACAAATTGTCAGAGTGGTCCATAAAATGGATGCTCCCGATCAATGTGGCAAAATGTGCAACCATGTGCATTGGACAAGCAAGCACGAGCTCCTACGAACTAAAGGGAATAACAATCCCATCAGTTCAGACTCATTTGGATTTAGGTATCATAGTTAGTCACGATTTAAAAACTACAGCACACTGTCGTGCGGTGGCTGCACGTAGTTTCAGGTCATTATGGGCAATTCTCAGAGCCTTCACTAGAATCACCAGAAATATGTTCTCCTCCTTATATACATCTCTGGTGAGGTCAAGACTGGAAAACTGCATCCAGGCCGCCAGTCCTTGTCTGAAAGGGGACTCACACATTCTAGAAAGGGTTCAAAGGAAGGCAACACGTGTGGTTCACGGCATGACTGACTTATCATATGAGGAAAACCAGACAGTTTAAGTCTCTTCTCCTTGTCATACCGTAGGCAGAGAGGAGATTTAATAGCAATATTTAAAATTTTAAATAATGACTACGGACCTGAAGAGCTTGGACAACCACATAAATTTACTGAAAAAGGATTGACATGGGCTCCAAGCCTTCTATCCTCAACCAATAAATCTGAATCTGAATCTTTACCTCCTGTGTATTTTGTACTAATCTATATTAAATATAACAACAAAACGGATTGTTAGTATCATCCGTAGGTGACCATGGTATGGATTTTATTGTGATTATTACTTATTTTCAAGGAACTAAACTGTAATTAGTTATAGTACCACTCTTTTTCGCAAACCTACTGCCTCTTTCAAGAATTATGAATTGTAACTGTCAAACTCTAGAGATCTACCAATCGATATAAACCAACCGTCAAGTTTTAGCCCTATATTATATATATATATATACATATATATATATATATATATATATATATATAATAGCTTGATTCCACACAGTATTTTGGTACAAGTCTGAAATTTTCAGCATGTGATCTCGGTAGCCCAAGTTTAGCAGTGCGACCATAGATATCAGGTGTGCGTTGGCGGGGGATCGAATCTCAGACCATATGCATGGTCGGCGAGAGTCCTAACCGCTGTGCCACCGACGCATATACATGGTGATGACTCCCTGTTTCCTGGTAATTATAAAAGGCTGACTACTGGAGTTACTACAGTGTGGGTTTTGTGCATAGCCAGATAATTTCGTACAGAGACGACTGTATGTGGTCTGATCCATCATACAATATAGTATTCGTTTGAGAGTCGAATAAAGTAAAAGACAAAGAATATTCAAGGAAGTTGACCATAGCTGTAGGCAACATTAAGCTCAAGAAAGTGTTATTTATGGATTATGACTAAGCGAGGAAAAGCATTGGTAGAATTAAAAGCCTGTCAAGGAACGAGGTGCCGTAAGATACTGATTTTTCTGGTGGTCACGCTACTGAAGACTTTTGGATATACTCACTCGAAACCGACCATAATTTTTCAGTTCAGACTATAAATAACAGTAGGTCGTCATATACTCTGCCAGTCCCAGCAATATATCTCTGCACAAATCCGATTTTCTTTTGAAAGCGCGTACATATGTAGCCGATACCACTTGATCACCTTGATACATTGCGAAACTACGCTCATCTTTTTTGTCTCATCTTACAACATTCGACATTGTCTGACTATACCATTCACGTTTCTTTGTTTTCATTCTTATTCTATTCGTATTGCTTGGGAACAGGTGGCATGCCTACTTAAACTTTCATGCAGTAAATTTTAGTCTTATACTGATGAAAAATACACCTTGCGACAAATATGTGAGTTGTATTTACGATATTTCAGTAGGTCAAATGATAGCTTCTCCATTCGTCTGCGTTCCGACCTTCTAGGTTTCAGTAGAGGTGATGTTGTTTATCTTTAAGGGTGGTCAGGGTTGGTGGCCTCATGTATAACCGTCATTCCTTTCTGGGCTTACCACCAGTGTTGGTAAACTTGATGAAGTCTGAAAGTGTATCGGTCAAGAATCTAACATGGACCAAGTACATAACTGCTGAGCATTCTATTGTTAAACCACTGAGGCACCAACAGATAATCTAGTTGATTTATTTATTATGGTGTTTAGAAATTGCTCATTTGAAACAGAGAAGACGTTCAGCGAAGAGACTCTTTTCGGCGAATTCGTTCACATAGCTGTACAATCGCATTTATATATAATTATTTGTGTGTGTGTACATGAGGTTTATCAAGTTTAGATAATTGATGAGGTAATGGAAGAGTGATCTAATATAGAAACAAAGTTAATCAGACAGTAACTAAAGTAAGATTGAGTTAGTAAACTAGATGACGTAATATAATTGACTAAAATGTTTCAACTTAGATCAGGGTAGCAACAGAGAGAGACTAAGTAGAAGTGAAAATGAGCAAATAAGTTGGATGACGTAACATAAATGACTAGAAATTGAGCGTTGTTCAAGTCAGTAATAGTGGTAGTAAGGTGTAGAAATTAAATCCGTTGGGGGTAGAGAACAAGAAAGTTGAAAATGTAAAATATTACAATTGAGAAGACAAAATAATACTAATAAAGAGATAGAAGAAGAAAAGATTAGGTAGAATTTACTTGTCGGCTAATAAGATAGATTGCGTCCATTGCAAGTGCAGTGATTGAACAAACTTCTTCTGTATGCAGAGTTCAGGACTTAGCAAGCGAATCGCCATTGCTTCTGCAGTTTGAAGAAGTCTGATTCGTACACCTTTAGGAAGACTACTTCTTGCTCTGTAGACGACTTTGAAGTTTGTTTGTGGTGTAGCTTGGTGTCCGGATTCTATCAGATGTTCTAAGATGGAGTTGTGAGGGCATCGATTTTCTCCTTTGTAAAACCATGTTGGTAAGTGTTCGGTGATACGTTTGTTGACCGAAGAAAAGTTGCCTTTAAATTTATATAGACATGAAATCAGGTTATTGCTTTTCAACTCGGTGTATTAAAATTTCGATTTAATGAGTTCTTTTATCATGTTAGATAGAATACAAAATGAAATTTAAGCGGAGGGATTCTCTTTTGTTTCAGGTGAATGTCTAATCTACTTCAAGAAGATAATCTGCATCTTTCACAGTGTATTCTAGCAGAGTTAAGTCAACAACTTTCACCATATGGTTTTGATGCATCTCCCTTTCTATCCGGTTGGTATAATGCAGCTGTTAGTCCAAAACTTCAACTAGGCAAAGATCTAACACCCTATGCTGATGATTGTTTTTGCGTCTGTCTAATCAGTAACCCGCAAATGTTTGAAAAAACCTTTATACCAACTATCTGTGAATGGTTTCAGCAGTCAGAAGGAGATTCATTTGAAGAAGTATTAAAAGGTTTGAGAAGTAAATTCACACGATATAAATTCCTACCTGGTTCCAGTGATCCGTTTGACTGGGCAGTATTTATCCGACTACAAAAAGTATTAGAAATGTGTATTACAAATATCAAAAGTCACTTATCTTCGAACCAGTTAGACAAGTTAAATGGTGCAGAATGGATACCAGATTATGCGACGCGATTTGTTACTCGATTTCCGTATGTTCATGTACAGACAGCTGGTCACGTATCAGGGATGGCTTATTTTCATCAACCTAGCGAAATGATTAAACAACGTTCACGTGAACAAACAGGACGACCGTATTGTGGTGTCAGCTTGCATCCAAAATATGGTGGTTGGTTCGGATTTCGGTAAGTCTTTTGATGCATTATTATATACTGCATTTAATGTATCAGACTTCTTGTTACAGTCAAAATCAATTTGATTTGTCATTATATTATACCTTAAGATCCTAAGTGGAACATAGGGATATTCAATAGCACATCTCTATTTCATCTTCTTTTCTGTAGTAGTTCTCAATAACTGGCTTCATAATTACCCATAAGCTCTCATTCCCTTCTCACACACACGTACTTCCAGCTCGTTATTTCCCATGCAGGTTCTATCCGACGGCTTGGCACACGACGTCACTGAATAAACCGTAGGTGACGAAATAGTAGAACTGTTATAAAAAGGTTTTTATTAAATTACTTTTGTTAATGATAACCCTTACAGAGAAAGGGTTTACGACCGGACTAACAGTGACTTCTCTTAGTGATACATGCCAATAAATAAATGTAGGTTGCTAATTCAAACCTAGGGGGTGACTATATATTCCATTTGGCTTATATCACTATCAATGTACAGTCAGTTTAGCTCCATATGAAGTCTATTCCAGGTAATTCCATCTTAGTTTGTTTATTAGATGTATTACACAGTGAGTGAAACAGTATTATTACATGCTGAATGACAAGGTTTCGAACAAAATCTGTTATTGTTCATAATCATATCAATCAATTGTAATCAAACGACTTCGAACCTTGAGTGTTATAGTCTTCTTTGTTCTCTCTTATTTGTCGTCGTAGGGGTAGTAGAATTTTCCAAATATCTGGCTGAACAGGTGTCGAGTCATTCCTATCACACGTATTTTCATTCAGTTGATTCGATGAATAAAGCTCCCGCTGTTATCAATCTCTCCCTCCATCTTGTTACATTAGAATATAAAAAAACTGTCATCGTATCCCACCCATTCTAATGCATGGTTGTATGTAACTGCATGTTGTGAGTGCTATAGCTGAAATATTCTCTAGATTTTTTACCTTATTCGGGTCAACTAATCTAGATTTGGCTAGGTATTTATGCAGCTTGGCTAGTTTAACTGTAGCTATTCTTCTACTTTGACCTATATTTTTGATCTGACAATCACTGCAGGCAGGGTATTAGATAAACTAAATTGTTTTGTTTTGAAGGCTCCACAGGAGTGATCCTTTAACTGACAAAGCTTGTTTCTAATTGAGTTCGTGGTTGGTTTGAATGCCACTTTTATTCCTGTCTGCCTTGTTAACAATTCTGCCTAAGGTTTCCGAGGTTCCTTCCTTGTATGGAAGTAATACTGACGATTTTGATTCCTTATTGTTGGTTTTGTCATTATCCTGCGTATGTTTGACATGCATGTCGTCATTGATATTAATATTAATAATACTATTATTATAGTTTTGAGAATCATTGGCAGTACGCACCCACCATAAGGGGGTTCGAACCCAGGACCTTCCGGTTACAAGGCAAGCCAGCTCGTATACCATTCAGCCACTGGGACCCGATTCAATGGCCAGCTCATGAATTCTAACTTCTACCAATTCGTGGTTTAGCGCGACCCCAACCAATGTTGTTGGTGGAACACTCATCCTCACACGTGACATCTGGTTGAACCTCACTGGTCACAACTTGTCACCACCAACGACATTGGTCGGGGGCACGCTAAACCACGAATTGGTAGAAGTTAGAATTCATGGACTGCCCATTGAATCGGGTCCCAGTGGCTGAATGGTATACGAGGTGGCTTGCCTTGTAACCGGAAGGTCCTGGATTCGAACTCTCTTATGGTGGGTGCGTACTGCCGATGATTCCTAAACTAGGATGAGACAGCAGCTGTCCAGTACTGCCTGTGGCTGGTTTTCTACGGTTCTCTAACTGATATCAATCCGTGATCAACTCGTAAAAAAAATTCTGTAGATCGTTTGCTTTGTACGCTATTCTGTGTGCTGTTGTCAAGGAATTTTTAAGGTTTTCTATTACAATAACCTCGTTTTTTTGTTCTTCTTTTTCCCCTTAGTGGTATTTACATTTTTCCAAATTTACGTTGTCCAAATTTACCCAAATCAACACCGCTATCTTATTTTACACCTTCAACAAATAATACTGGATCGAATTCGTCATTGAATAATAATAATAATAATGACCAATTAGAATCTTTACTTTATGAATATAATGAATGTTGGAGTGACAATAAATGGAGAGATTATAAATTATTCAATGATGATGATAATGATAATAATAACAATTGTAATCATCGTTATTCTAATGATGCTATATTGTATTTTTCAACTGAACCATCAGAACGTGTAAAATTTGTTCAACAGAGGTTTTCACGCTATTCAACTAATGCTATACCACCACCACCACCAGTAATGTGTACTACTACTGGCAAGGATTTATAAGTAGTCTACTGTGTTCTTCTGCATATTCTGACAAGATGTTGATTCGCTAAGTAACAACTTCAATTCCGGAAGAGCACAATGGCACGGACGACGACGGGGAGGAGGAGGGGGAGGCATCAGTGTGTACAGGAAGTATGAACTATAACAATTATTTTTCTTCGTCTTCATTGAAAATTTGCCGGTTTTACCGAAGAAAGCCGAACTTTTCAACTGAAATTCCTCAGTGTTCTATCGTTATGTACTAATAATAATACTAATAATGATAATAATAATTTGCTTTATTCCAAAACAGTACTTGTGATACAGAATGGAATTCTCAGCATTTTTACTACAGTATTGCATCCAGTTAGTACATTATCAATAAATAGAATTCTACATAGATTAAGGGTATTCTCAGTTCATTATGACAACAACATATTGGCATGTCGGTAGCAAAGCCAAAGTTGAACAGTGTTTGAAGGTGTTAGAAAAGTAGGTGCTATCATATTTACTGGCGTAAGCGGAAGAAAGAAACAAAGCAGCATATAACAGAAGAGAGAGAGAGAAAAGGAAAAGAAAGAAAGAAAATGTTGTACCTATAAATGATATGAGTTGGAAAGACGAGGTCCAGTTGTTCTACTGACTATTTAGTGAATTATAGGTGTCACGCCTAATGCTTTCTTTATCACACAGAACACGAGCTAAGTAGGGTATGGTTGAGTTTTTGCACTTGCTGGTGCGAGCATATAGTTTTCTATATAGGCTTCTGGTTTCGCCTGATGAGATGCAAGGGGAGAGTTGTGAGTGAAGAGGGTGATGTGAGTTAGATAAAATGGATTTGGCCCATTTTTCACATGAGTCCATGTGCCTATCGAGCAGAATATTAACAAGCTGGTTAAGTGGCACGTTGCTTACCCTGCTGACAACCTTTAACATCCTGCGTAATATGTTATAGTCTTTCTTCAGTAGCCCGGGAAAAACTAAGGGGGAACAATAGAGAATAATAGGCAGAATGCGAGAGTTAACGAATTGTAGGAGTAAGGGTTGGGTTATACCAGAATGTCTTAACTTCTTGATGTAGAAGGTAAGACGGAATATTTTCTTAGAAATCGCCAAGATATGAGACGACCAGGAAAGATCAGCAGATAGAATGACGCCTAGGTATTTAATTTCCGACTTGGTTTCTATTTCAGTGCCATCTATGTTGCACACCTCGTGAGAGCCAACCAGTTTGTTTAGGTCGGATTTATGCCTAAAGGTGAAATTGACTGTTTGGCATTTGGAGGGGTTTAAGGTAAGACCGTTTTCCTAGGACTAGGACTGGTATTGCCTACACAAACACACACGCATGCACTCACTATTCGGGGATTAAAGAAGTTATAACCTCCCCACCCTTCTTCTTAACATAAACATGATTTCAATTTTTTTCAATGTTCATTGGATTTGTTTGTATACACTTATTTTAATGAAGTGAGTGTTGTTTGGGTTTGATGTGGAATCACACTCTCACTGTTTGTAAAACAATTTTCATTGTCATCACTGTTTTGTTGTATTTCACAGTTGCCTGATGATATTTACTAATAATTACTATCCTGTATATAGCCTATTTTTATAAAAGAGTACATATAAAACTGATAGATATTTTGTTTTCATTTTGTTCATATTGTCTGTTTGTCTGTTTTCGCCATAGAACTTTGCATTGATGTGCAGCAGTTCAAGTCGCCACACTCTCTCCATGTAGCACACAAAACAAGAGAATAAAGTAAAAAGAAATGCAAAATAGAGATAGTAAACAGACACATAAGTCAAAAACAATAGTGATATCGAAGAACAATATAGTTTTATTGGAAATTATAAGTCACAAGGACTGGATGAATTAGTGCCAGCCATTGACAACGATTTTGAGCCATATCACTAATTGTTTGCAACCATTGGTTTTTACCGTCCCGAGGACTCCAACCAACCAGTCAGGAAGTCTACACCTTCATACATGACTGGCTTAAACTAACTGTTGTGGATTTTATTGACTGACAAAGCCATGTTTTGGTTTGACCATCAGCTAACTCTTTCTCAACCTGATCAATCCTATGTCAGTTAACATTGGCCGTCCAGGAAGGCGATTGCTAGACATGCATGAGTAACACATGTCCTAACCATCCCAGTCGATGTAACTTTACAGCCTCGCCTATTGATTCCCCCTCCTTACCTAACACTCGACCGAAGCCTAACCTCAATATTTCTCACCCTATTACACTTACTATCTAACATGGGAGATAGAACGTGGTCACCTATGATCAAAGACAGCTAGCCAGCCTCTTCATGTCTGCCATTCTCACTGGCCAGGTCTCACAGCCATAAAGGAGAACAAAGTGGACTGCTGAGCAGTACACCCGCCCTTTGGTCGATAGCCGTATGCATATATATATATATATATATGTATAAGAGTGTCTGTCTTCGCTTAATACTGAAGATCAGATGGCCAGAAAAGATCAGCAACAGGGATCTCTGGGAGCGAACCAACACAGCAGGAACCGATTGTGCAACAAACATCCAGGAATAAATGGAGGTGGATTGGCCATACTCTGAGAAAGCCATCAAGTGAACCACACTACAGGCCATTACTCGATTGGAACCCTAACGGAAAGCGGTGAGTTGTTTGTCAGTGCGAGGGTAAAATGGAGGAGGCGGTGGTGTGAAGAAGAGATGAATGCATGTGGGCAGACGTGAAGCCAGGTGAAAACGGCTGAACTAAAGGAAATAATCATATATATATATATATCTGTCTGTCTGGATTCAACATAGAACTTGGCACCGAAGTGCAGCAGTTCCAGTTGCCACGTTCCAAATAGCACACAAAGGTAGACAAGAAAATGAGTGATGAAGAGAATCAATAGAGTTTTGACAAGTATAAGAGTGAAACAGAATGAGTAATGGTAGAAAGGAATATGAAAGATTACAGAGACTGAATACATCTGCGTAAGCCATTGACAACGATTTTGAGCCATGTCACCTATTGTCTCCAGCCATTGATTCTTAGAGTCCCGAGGGCGGGCCCCAACCCGGAAGTCTGCATCTCCCTACCTGACTCAGTTTAACTGTCAAGGATTTCATGGATTGATGATGCATGTTTTTGTTTGGCCACCACTTACTCTTTTCCAACCTGCACCTATATCAGCTAGTAATGCCCGTCGGGGGAGGCGATGGTTAGGCATGCGCAGCACGTGACCTAGCCATCTCAATCTATGTAACTTTATAGCCTCTTCGATTGATTTTCCCTCCTTGCCCAACACTCTACGCCTAACGTCAACATTACTTACCTTATTATGCCACCTAACGTGAGAAAGAGATCGTAGACATCTATGATCAAAAACAGTCAACCTTTTCATGTCTTCAACTCGTATTGGCCATGTTTCAGAGCCATAGAGAAGGACGGAGCGAACTGCTGAGCAGTACACACGTCCCTTGGTTGATAGTCGGATGTCACGCCTACGCCAGAGACGGTGTAAGTTAGCGAAAGCAGCCCGAGCTTTTTGGATCCGTGCTGAGATTTCGTCACCAATCAGTCCGTTGGTGCTGATACAACTTCCCAAATAGGTGAAGTGGTCAACATGTTCTATCACTTCACTCCCTATCACTAAGCTAGGAGTTGACGTAGTCCAGTCAGTCCTGTAGCAGCATCTTACATTTTACAGGGGCGAATCGCATGCCAAACATACGAAGATTGCTGCTCAAGGTGTTCAGAAGACTCTGCATTTTGTCAGCATCCTCCCCTAACAGGACAATGTCATCTGCATATTCTAAGTCCATAAGACTATTCCCTGGTAACAAGTCGATTCCTAAGTCGTTAAGTTCAGTTAAGGATACTTCCATTAGCATATCTATGATGAAGTTAAACAGAAAAGGGGAAAGTGGACATCCCTGACGGACACCACTGGTTGTTATCAATTCAGATGACAATTCCCCATAAGCCCTTACACGGCTATGTGAGTTTGAGTAGAGTGCCTTGATTAGTGCAATGTACTTTCTTGGCACTCCCTTCACAGTCAAACATTGCCATAGTACCTCTCGATCCACGGAGTCGAAGGCCGCCTTCAAGTCAAGAAATATGGCAATTGTTGGACGCCTAAAAGTGTGTCTATGTTCTAGGATCTGTCGGAGAGTGAAGATATGATCTATGCACCCTCTACCTGGCCTAAAGCCTGCTTGATTTTCCCTCGTTTGTTCCTCCCGAGTTCGGCTTAGTCTGTGCATGATTACTGAGCCTAGGATTTTAGAGACTATGTTCGTCAGGCTGATTCCTCTATGATTATCACATGAGGACTTGTCTCCCTTCTTGAATATTGGTATAATAAGTGACTTACCCCAGTCTGATGGAACCGTCTCTGATTCCCAGACGTTACCTAGTACCTTAGTTAAACTATATACTAGTATGTCACCCCCATATTTAAACACCTCCGGAATAATTCCGTCGGGTCCTGCCGCTTTGCCTCGTTTCAAATTACAGATAGCTTTGGTGACCTCACTTACAGACGGCGGGCCAGTGTCTATGTCCCATTCGGGTGTGTGCTGGATGGCGGGGAGGCTCAGTGTGGCTGTAGGCAAGTTAAATTGTTCCTCGAAGTGTTCTTTCCAGCGTTCGAGGCGTCTATCCTGAGAGCTAATTAAGGAGCCATTTTTCTCACAAATAGTCTCACTTATGATTTGCCTTCTCCCACCCGTTTCCCTGATGAGTCTAAAGAGTTGCCTAGTGTTGCCTATCGCCGATGCTTTTTCCATCTCTTTCGCCTTTGTCAACCACCACTGTTCACGGTCCTTGCGGAGACTTTTCGTAAGTTTCCTTTTGTGCAGCTTTCGCTCCTAATTGAATTCGGAGCTCGCCGGAATAAGTCTTCTAGCATCTATCAGTTCAGATGAGGCAGTCGAAATCCAATGGTTTTTACTCACCTTTGGATTTACCTTATTCACGGCTTTTACAGCTGTATCTATGGCTGACTGAATATTCTTCCAGGCTTCTTCAGGGTGAGCGCAGCTGTCGAACTCAGATATGTGTTTAGCTAGTTCTTCCTCAAATAGGGGCTTAGTTTCCTGATCGAGCTGGGGACGTGATGGGTTTACCGCCAGCTGTTTCCTACGTCCTTTCAATCGTAAGCACACACGAGCGCGGACCAGTGCGTGATCGGTATCTACACACGTGTTCCAGAAGGAGCGACAATCCCCTACCGACCCACGCCAACGATAGCTTATTGCTATGTGGTCTATTTGTGTCCAGCGTTGATTTGGTGATGGGGGTCGCCAGGTCAAACAGTGTCTCTCCTTGTGTTTGAAGTTAGTGCTTACAAGAAACAAGTGATTATCTGAACAGAACTGTAGGAGACGGTCACCGTTGTCGGTTTGCTGGCACGGAACTCCGTATGTGCCACCGACATTCTTCTCAGATTGACACAATTTCCCTACTTGAGCATTAAAGTCACCAGCTAAAACGACTATATCTGAGCGTCTAGCCTTTCGCAGCAAACTAGACAGCTTTTGGTAGAACTCATCCTTCGTTTCATCCGAACTGCAGTCAGTGGGGGCGTAGGCGGAGATTACGAAAAGGCATCGGCGAGTAGTGCAGTCCTTTCTCCTTTTCACTGATTCGTTCAGACGGACAGCACACATTCGGCTATCTACCGGGATCCAGTCAAGTAATGTCTTTTCTGCCCTAGTACTCAAAGCTATCCCAACACCAGCTAATCCTCGTGAGCTAGCTGTGGCATCTCCTGACACCCTCAAGGTGAATTTTGCAGATTCATCCTGTTGGCCAGGTGGGGTTAGGTGAATAACCACACTTGGGTCTTGTATGCGTGTTTCTGAAACACAACATACATCAATGGCTCGGGATTCCAGAGTCTTGGCTAGTGATGCTTGTTGTCCTATTTGGCAAAGTGTCCTAACATTAAATGCCCCTATATGAAATTGGTGGCGTGGCTTTAGGAGACTATCGATGGTGGTTTTTTGGCTTCCGTCGTTTTCAGTGCACACAGAGTGAAGAGGAAGTGAAGAGCCATCAAGTAGAGGAGTTGCATTAGTAGAAGGAAGGCAAGATAATAGAGATGAAGATGAAGACAAAGGTGAGTGAGGATTAGAGAGGTTTCGCGTGCACTTCGGATTGTGAGGGCGATTGTTACTTCCCGGCTACCCACACCGTGGAAGTTGGTTGCGTGACCACAGAGCCCAGGGGACAACTGCTTGAGGCCGGTCACACACGGCCTGTTTTTGTTTGTTGTTTTTCATTTGGTGTGTCTCAGTAGCGTATTTATCACTTCTGTCCTGTAACACGACAGCAGAAAGCGCGGTCGTTGTTAATCCGGGCCCCGACCGATCCGGCATGATATTTTGTGATTTATTTGAAGTCATAGGATTGGATTGGGTAACTGCTTTTAGTCTAACCGCTATCCAAACAACTTTTCTGGCATGGTAGGACCTCAAGCGACATAAGTCTTAGCCAGTGTAGCTTGTTGGGTCATTGCGGTGTTCAAGCCCGACCACCACGTCAAGGTAGCAGCTTTCGGTCGGGGATGGTTATTATCCAAGATTTAAATCAATTTCAGCACTTTTAAAAGTCAATCTTAACGAAGAATTTTCTATGGTTTGGTTTGTAAGGGTTTGTTATGTTTTACGAGTTGATCACGGACTGATATCAGTTAGAGAACCATTGAAAACCAGCCACAGGGAGTACTGAACAGCTGCTGTTTCATCAGCCTAGTTTGGGAATCATCGGCAGTACGCACCCACTGGAACGAAGAATATTCTTTTGAATAATTTCTCCTCTTCAGGTTCTTACACTTATAAAATATGATTATATTTGTTGTCGTTACAATAATGATGGCCAGTTATGCTGCGGATACATTTTTTTAACGTATAATGGCAGATTAGCAGTTATAAGGTGTCTAGATAAATAGTCGTATTTGTATGACAATCGTGCTAGTTGGCTGAAATCGATTACAAACTATTGTAAAATGGGAGACAATGAGGATGGTGATTAGTCATAATAGATTTGTAGAGTGTGGGTTAGGAAAATTGACAAGTCAGTTCAAGGTCATTAAAGTTGTCAAGTGAGTGGAGTGCCTATTACAAAGTGGTGTGTATTAAACAGGAGATAGTAAGACTGCAATGAGAGGTTCATGATGAAATAACGAATGTGTGAAATGAAACAGGCGGAGGCATATGTTGAGAAAAGAGATAATATCATTAATAGTAAGTCCGGATAGTATAAATGAAAAATTCGATAATATTGAGAGAATGTTTGCATGAAGGGCATAAATTATGACGAATAATAATAATAAGCAAAGAAAGAAGAAAAAACCAAGAGGGTTTAGAGGAAGAAACACTCTTCTGGTGAGAAGAAAAATCATCAATCCAAGTTTGGCCACGGTAGGAACAGCGACTGGACAAGTTTGTCTCCTATTTTACAATAGTTTGTAATCGATTTCAGCCCAGAGCACGTTTGTCACACAAATACGACTATTTATTTTGACAACCCATAACTGTTAATCTGTTATTCTACGTAAAAATAACTGTATCCACCTCATAACTGGCTATCATTATTGTAATGACAACAAATATAATGATATTTTATAATTGCAAGATCCTGAAGAGGAGAAATTATTGAAAAGAATATTCTTCGTTCAGATTGACTTTTAATTCATGTGAATTCATGGGAATATTTGACACTATTAAATCTGCAACACTTTTGTTTAATACAAAAGACTGAGATTAGTGGACACAGTGTACACTGTTTTCGATAACTTCCTGTTTATCAGGTGCCACAGTTCTTTGTGTATTACAATTCAAGAATTATTATTATTATTATTGTCAGTATTCATGTGATGTAAGCAACATCAAAACATTCAGATGAATAGATAACATTTCGAAAATATATGTGAGTGATATCCAGCGTTAATATTGTGGTGGTGTGATACAGACAACAATGGGTTCCAAAGGAATAATTATTCTCACAGTAAGAATCATTGCATTTTTTAGTTTTAACGTCAGAATACTATTCCCACAGTTCCATCCTGAATTACCAACAGAATGCTATATGGGATTTCATCATGAGCTGACATTAGTTAGAGAACCATTGGAAAACCTGGGAGTACTGGACAGCTGTTTCGTCCTAGTTTGGGACTCTTCAGCAGTACGCACCCACCGGGATTTGAACCCAGGACCTAATGGTCGCGCTATGTCGTGAATTGGCAGAAGTAAGAATTCATGGGCCATTGGATCGGGTCCCAGTGGCTTAATGGTACACGAGCTCGCCCTGTAACCATTAGGTCCTGGGTTCAAATCCCGGTGGGTGCGTACTGCTGAAGAGTCCCAAACTAGGACGAAACAGCTGTCCAGTACTCCCAGGTTTTCCAATGGTTCTCTAACTAATGTCAGCTCATGATGAAATCCTGTAACCAATCAAATCCCTACAAACCAACACTTGAGAATGCTATATATATTTGAACATTCTATTTCATGTTGTTTAATGTAAACCAAATTCACACGCTCGCTGGGTTACTGACTAAAGAACATAAACTGTAAAGATGCATAAACAGCTGTTTGATACCTTGAAAATATACCTTGACTTCCATGTTTTGCCTTCTACTGTTACAGTATAACACGAAACTGAATGTGTATCAGATAAATTAAGAAAAATGACAGGGAATTAATGAATTTATCGCGGTTCGAAGGCAGGTTAGGGTAGCAATACCAGCTGATGCATATACCGAGAGCTTCTGCAGTACAAAGAAGTCGGAAACACGCTGACTATCTTTGGTAGATTTTTGTTCACTTTGTAAATGACTCTGAATGATGGATGAGTTAGCTGAGAGAGATGCTGTGACGGGCGTTGACAAGGTGTTCAGTTCTGGCACTTCTGATTTAACCAGTGCCTCCTCTTTACAGCCATGCTGGATGATTTTCTCTAACACGTTTTGATAAGCAGGTGAACTGATATATGCACATTGAAATGGTAATATGCGGAAGTCTGTCGTTCCCGTTGCTCCGAAGTAGTGGCCGGCTAGAGAATATCACTCTTAGAGTTGCTACAGGAAAAGTTTTCTTCAAGGAATTGGAGATTCATCTTTTAAGGATATCTGCTGCTAGGTCTCCCCTGAATTCCAGATTCAAATAAAGTGTATTCTCTGGCACTGAAGTGCATTCTTCTTTCTACGGCTTTGGTTTCATGTCCTTCTCCATCAAACGCTCTGGGTATCCATTTTGAACCCTAATGCTTTTGAGAAATAGGAGCTCTTCTTCTTCTAAACAGTCATCGCAACAAATTCTTCTGGTACGGTGGGCTAGGGAGATGATGAGAGCTCTTGAATATAATAACTTGAATAATTAGTTATCCAGCCTCTCTAATATGTAATTTTATGTAATATTTTTCACACATTGTTAGTTTCTCATACACAAACTTTATTTTGTCACTAGTTGACCGTAAATTTTGACCTCTGTTGTAAACTGACACTGCATGTATGAATCTTGAAATAATTGTACAGTTTTGCAGTGAAGTTACAAAACGAGGGGATCTCTTTGCTGACTTATGTATTCTTCATCAGCTAATGTATATATATATATATATATATATATATATTAACAAGTGCGTCAGTGCACTGTGCGTCGGTGGCACAGTAGTTAGGACTCTCGCCGACCATGCACATGGTCCGGGGTTCGAGTCCCTGAGGATGCACACCCGATATCTATGGTCGACCTGCAAAATTTGGGCTACCGATATCCATCCTGAAAATACCATACTTGTACTGAAAATACGATGTGGCATCAAGCTGTAATCAAAAAAAAATAAATAAATAAGTA